TTTACTATGTCTACAGACATAGTTCACAAGAGTGTACTCCATACATGCTACATACAAACAAGGTGTATTATATGTGACATTGAAAATACTTTAATTTATTTACTCTAAATTACTCGATTACTGAAGCCTTATATACTATATTATGGATACATATCAACACAGTCTTGGCATGCACTATCAGTTTCCATGGCTTTTTTGGTAAAATTTCTTCACATTTGCTGTGATGTAGCTAAGGTACTATTCAGTCACATTAAAGATATCCTAAGAGTTATTCAGCTTAAAACTGAAAGTCTGTTTGGAATCCTCATTTCTACCATGGCATCTAAAGATTTGTTGGATCGTCACATTGATCCTTTACATCCACTCCTCGCACATTACAATCAGCCAGGAAGCATGTCTGTGTGAATCACCCACAAGGGTCTTCTGCCAAGTTCTTCAAGCAGACTCAGTCCCATGACAATATGCAACCCAAAATTCACATCCTCCTCCATCTGGCTCTCAGAAACCAAAAAACAGTTGTGTCTGACAAACCTGGAAAGGACAAGAGAGTTTTCATGAGGGTAAGGGGAACAGCCCTAGGGACTTGAGCTCTCTCCTGCTGCATATCCCTCTCACAGGCATTTCTGTCATAGCTTGCCTAGACTACATTTCCAAGGCCTGGTCAAGCATTACAGATGATGATTGGGTCCTTTCAATAGTGAAAGAGTTGTCTCTAGATTTGGGAACAACCTCTATCCAGGACCCCATATTTCTTCACTAATCCAATTTATTGACACTAAAGGAGGAAGTACACATCATTTTTCAGAATAAAAGCAGTAAAAAGGGTCCTGAACAGTTAGTCACCCACCTTCTATTCCCGTAGCTGCCAGGTCACCAAGAAAAGTGACAAGTTTTGCATTTTAATTAATCTCCTCAATCAATTGGTTTCTTCTGGAAGAACCTTTCAAGATGGAGACCACCTCAAAATCTGGAATATTCTCCAGTATTTCAAAACCTTGCTGGTCTACAATGTTCAAATCCAGTCCTTCAGCAGTAGTAACTTAGTTGGACCTTTTGACCAACCTTGAGAAATCAGAACTGACTTCATCGCAAGACTTCACTTAGGTGTGGAATTTCCTCACAAACCAGAACTTTTAGTTCCAATCATTCAGATAAATCAGACCCTGGCTTTGTTAGAGACACTATGAGCAAAAATTCTTTGCTTAACATTATCTGTCCCTTCTGGGAACTTTGAATGCCACTGCTAACTTGGATCTATTAGGATATCTTCAGATGCGACCTCTACAGTTCCTCTTTCTTGCAGGGTGGAAAGTTTACAAAGATTTTCTATCAATTCTGAATTTTATAAGCACCAGCATTTCATCACCATTTGCAGTGGTGGATGAATTTGGACAGATTCATGATTGGAGTCATCATATGCATGTACCTGAACCCCACTCCTATCTGTTTGCCTACGTATCATATTCTGGTCAGGGTGCTCATTTAGAACCAGAGGGCATAATTCTATAGGGACTTTGAATGCTGTCCAAATCATCTCTCCACATAAACAACCTAGAAATGAAGGCTGTATACCAAGTGTTGCAAGGTGCATCAACAGAGTTGATGTGTCATGGTCTCCTTCGACAACACATCCATCATAGGTTATCTCTGATATCAATGAGGCACACATGCCCCTTTTCTTTGTGTGGAAGTCTGGAACAACCTGTACTGGGCCACCTCAGAGAACATAGCACTCAGAGTTCATCATATTCTGGGCAAGAAGAACATTGTGGTGGACAGTCTCTTCCGAACTGGCTGAACCATTCTTAGAGAATGGACTCTTCACTCTGTTACAGAGTCTCTTTTCTTAATTTACCCTTAGTGGATGTATTTGCATCTAGGCTTAAAAACAGATTCCCAGTTTAAGTTTTTCTTGTCATGGATCATCGAACATAGGCAAGTGGATGTATTGAGTCTCAAGTGGAATCAGCTGTTCATTTATGCCTATTCTCCTTTCCAACTGATTCCTCAAGTGCAAAAAGTCAGAACTTCCACTGCTCAGATCACCTCTGTAACCTCAGCCCTTGTGGTTCAGTGATCTTGTAGACTTGATCAATTGACCTGGTCAGGAAGGATCTTCAGTCTAATCACCAGGGATCCCTCCACCATAACGGCCCACAAACTTTTCACCTTCATACTTGGCTCATCTCAAGTGATCTTTCCACCACAACAGTATTTTTTGGACTGAGTCGCAATTTGCATCATTGAAGCAATGAAAGCTTCTGCATCCAGGGTCTATGATGCCAGGTTGAGAATGTTGTGATTGGTGCAGGTATGAATCGTTGATCCTAGCTGCCCCTCCATAACTTCTCTTGATGATTTCCTTTTGTTTCTCTCTGAGAACAAAAATTGCTCTGTATCCACTATCAAAAGTTACAGAGCTGCCATTTCTAACACTTAAATTCTCTAAAAGCACAGTAATAGGTTTGGATTAGCATCTTACCAGTCTTATTAAATATTTTGAGCTGCAGAGTTGTCTCACGCTCTCTTATTCCTAGATGGAACCCCCTATGAACCATTGAGTGAGGTTTCTTTTTAAGACCTCACTCTAAAGACCTTGTTTCTGCTTGCCCTATCCTTAGTCTGACAACAAAGTGTGATTTATGCCTAAAGTTTTCTATTGACACTGACTCTCCAGTTTAATGGGAATTATGATTCAGTTTCACTTGTTTGTCACCTGGGATTTTTAGCCAAAAATCAGTTACCTTCCATAGCTCCACTACCATCAGAAATCCCCCATCTCAGCTGAAACTGCTGAGGATGATACAGATAGACTTGTATGTCCCATGAAGCATTTCACTTCTATCTTATGGAATCCAAAAGAAAAAGTAAATGTAGGAAGAAACTTTTCCTCAAGGACTTTTTTGACATTTCATCTACAAATAATTCATAATGGATTATCATGAGTGTACCAGTCTCTTACTGATTGAGACCTTTCCTTTATGAAACTTAAAGTCCATGAGGTTGTTGCTACATCCTTAGTCACTCTTCCTTGAAGGACATCATGAAGGCAGCATTTTGCCATTCCCATACACTTCCTTCTTTTACCTTCACTTGATATCATGACAAGCACAAGCATTTTTTCTCTGGGTCCAACTGTTACAGCACAAAATCTAGCCTCGAGGAATACTAACATTCCATAACATGAACCTCTCCACCTATGATGAGTGCATTTTCCATTTTCTCTGGGTTTTTATCAGTTTAATGGAGCATCTGCCCGCTCTCCTTATTGAAAAATTCAGCTCAACAGTAGCTATGGGTAAGTTATTTCTGCTTTCAAAATGTAGTTTTGGAGTGATAAAACTAATTTTGATTATACAATACCTGCCTGTAGATACTATCAATTGCCCTCCTCCCACCCATGCTCAGGTGTCCTGTTGAATGATAGTTGTCCATGAAAAAGATGAAATATCTGTGCTTCTTTTACACATACCATACCAAGGACAAGTCGAGATGCATGAGGAATTATGTTATACTGACAATTCTTCTCTCTAAGTGAAAATGTGTGCACATCATAGGATGGTGCAGTTTTGGGACATGAAAAAGATAGGCTAAGCAATAAATATAGATAAGGATTCCATAATTAAACTTAGTTGTACCAACATTTTTTGGAAGACACAAAGTGTATGGAAATGATTGAAAGTATACTTTGGTTTCACAAATTTTGGTGCGGTACCCATTTTCAAAGATTTCATTGCAGTCAGATTTTAAGAAGAAGCAAATACTTTGCCATGTGTGATACAATAATGACCAACAGTCGCACCCCCACCCCACCCTACTCCAAGCTCTGTTATCAGTGAAACAAGACAATGCATAAAGTATTCAAACAGTTATTGCTGAAATTGAAAGAAAGAATACTAAATGATACTAGTGTATGAAAATTAGATATAATTTCTATTCAAAGTGATAATTAATTCAAGTGAATCTGTCCTTGAAAAATTGAAATCCCCTTAATAGCATGTCTCATTTTATAAATTCATGTTGAATCCAAATGTGCAGTTAGACTGTAAAATTTCTAAAACTATTGCTTGAGCACAATTGCATTACTAATGAAACATATATAATTATGCGCTAATTATGGCAAAGCCATGGATACTTGGATCTAATCTTTCATGTGAGCTGCAATTATCAATTCAGGATAATTTGGCTTGATCTATGGGGTTTTAAAAACCAATAATATAGTAATGATATTTACCATACCAGTTGAGAAGTGTCAATTTTAATTCTTCTTTATAGTCTCTTTATTGATAGTAGTATTGTTTTATTTTTTGTTTGGTACATGAGGCAGGCACAAACAAAAAAAACATTGTCTTTCATAGTAGTTCACATCTTTGAACTTCAGTGAGAACACATATTGCCATATCCTGCTGATTGCATTAAACAAGAAACAGCTCTTCATATAATTTGTTTGCATGTGGAATGATGACATTATCCAAAATGAGGAGCCTCTTAAGTTTGATTTTAAAACATGTAAGCCACTGTGTTAATGCCATGTTCAGCAGAAAGTAGTGATGCTAAAACTTTATGGACAGTAAAAGACCACACACAAATGTCATAACAAATTGGCTTAGTGTTGTTGTCAGCTCCATTTGAGGTCAAGCACTTGGATGGAAACATGGTGTAAGATTACTCTTAACAAGTGCTTTTACAGGTGGTAGTAATACTTTAACCATTCAAGCAATGACTTTTTTTGACATAGTTTTATTCTTTCGGATTCATTTTTTGGGGTACTTGTAGAGGTTAATAAACAAAATTAAATACCTGCCAATATGCAAACTTTGATAGGCAAATCCTCAAATTTATCTACTAATATAAATGTTTTTTTTTTTTTTACAAAGCCATGCACAATGAGACCCATTAAAATTATTGAAACCACAATAATAGGTTGATGCAAGTACAGTGAAACTTCCCTGGACTGGTTTCTTTGTTACCTGGCTTCCTTTTCAGAATTCAACCGCTCTGTGGCCTAGTGGTTAGAACATCTGCCTCAGATGCGGGAGGTTGTGGGTTCAATCCTCAGTCAAGTCATACCAAAGACTTACAAAATTGGTTCTAACAGCTGCCACGCTTGATGCTTAGCAGTAAGAGGTTAATGTTAGGACTGGTTGGCCTGGTGTCAGGATAATGTGACTGGGTGGGACATCATGCTACATGTCTGTGGCATGATGACCCAGTGCTAGACATCACTATAAACTGCCACACTACAAACATCGTAGTGATATGACTGAAAAATTTTTAAAGATAAGTTAAAAAAATCATAAACACCAAACCAAACCAAACCACCACTTTCAGAAATGCCAAATATTTGTGTCCAAACCTTTTTATACAGCACACTTCTTTTAAAGGGACATAATATCATTCCCAATACTAGTTTTGTGAGTTTATTGTCTGTGAAGCACAGAGAATGCATATGAAAAATAATTGGGCTCTGAAGTGCATATAGTTTTGAAACTACTGGTAACTGACATAAGCTTTAAGGAATGATACAAAGACATTGTCAACATAAAGTGATGACCTAATTTTGCTGTTTCTACTGCCATGGCAGGAAAACTAAGCAAAAGATGACGTTGTTCCAGATGGCTGTGGAGCAGTCTGAGAACAAGGAGATCTGCATTCAGGAGCACCTAGGATCCATTATTAAAGTGGTAAGTTTCCCAGAGAATGGATGACAGAACTGGGACTTATTTTAATTATCTAGTACATTTCATGATAAAACTATAGCAGTCCCAGTCAGATAGTACATTGCTTGGTGCAATCAGGATTTGTCAGTGGATAATTACATGGATGCGACATTAAACAGTGTCAGCCTGGGTAATTTGACATTTGGATGGGGTAGAGAGGAAAACTCATACAAAGGTAATGATGCAAAGAATTTTTAAGGTCTTTCTTAGATAATGTTATGATGGTTCTCCACCCTCAAATTCATACATACATCCATATTTAAGTTTGTAGATTTACAGACAATAACTTCAGTTCTATTGCTTTTTCAAACTTTATAATTGGTTTGTCCTTAGGATAAGAAAGAAGCCTGCTTGTTTTGCTAAGGTCAAGGTCCCAGAAATTGAAAGAAATATTGTTTCTATTGTTTCTACATTTGTTCTAAGTCAAACCAAAATTTGTGGCTGGATTGTTAAGGTGTGGAACAAGCCTATTGATTTTAGGGTAGAAAGGTCAGAGATCAAGGTCATATACTGGGAAACAAAATGTTTTCTACATCAGAAACAAGAACTAAACATCGCTAATCGCTTGCTTCTGGAATATAGTGCTTTTTGTTCAAAAGATGAAAGGTTAGGGTACCTAAGGATGAAAGATGAATAATGGTTTTAGCACAAAAACTTTAGTTGTAGTGTATTGATTTGGGGGTCATATGGTCAAATATCAAGGTCAATGAATGAAAGAAAAACTTTTTGGCATATTAACTTGATTCCAGACCACATACCATGATCGAAATTTGTGGATGATTTGCACTTAAGGTAATAAAGTAGCCTATGTATTTTGGATTCAAAAGATCAAAGTTTATGGTCATGGCAAGTCTAATAAGAAAATAATGGCTTATGTGCTATAAGCTTAGTTCACTACTGCACACCTTGATGAAGGGTCCAGGTTAGTAAAACTCAGCAGTTGAGAGGACTTGTAAACATAGGGTTGGTGTATAAGATACCATTTGCTGTACTGTTATTGTTAGGTGTGTGACTTAAAAGGTAGTTCATTACATCTTGCTGGTGTTATAAATACCATTTCATCACTGTTATGTATCCTCACAGCAGATCGGCTACCAAAAATATATTATCTTTAATTACAAGGAAAGTTATTTTTTTTATACTAACATTTTATAACATATTTAAAAAATATCAGAAGAGCTTTTTCTTAGGGTAGAAGTATATTTTGACAGCCAACAAATTTGTGGCAGGTTTTATGGCATCAGTATGTTTGACCACAAATAAAAAAAATTACCTTTAAGATTGACCACTCTGGTGGCCTAAATGGTTGGAGCATCTGCAACAGATGCAGGAGGTCATGGGTTTGAACCCCCAACCAAGTCATACCAAAAACTTAGCATTATGAGGTTAGTGTAAAGACTGGTTGGTCTGGTGTCAGAATAATGTGACTGGGAGGGACATGAGGCTACATGTCTGTGATGTGCTGCCCTTATGCTACACATCACTATAAACTTTCACACCACAGACATTATAGCAATATGACTGAAACATTTTTAAAGCTGTGTTAAAAATCTAAATCATACATACATGCCTATAAGTTGTTGATAGAAAGATTTACATACAGAAACATATTTATAAATTGATTATTTACATTTTATTACATAAAATTTTTAAGTCAGCAATTAGTTTAACAACTTACCATTAATTTTTTAAGGTATGTTTGGTTTTACTATATAATTTATCTGTTTGTTACACAATTAGATTGATGCACTTTCTTAATTTATTTACTGATCTGACTCATTTATCAAAACTAAATAATGCATTGAGTCATGTGTACCTGGTCAAACTAAGAAAATATTAAAACTAGCTTAGGTATTTATGTAAATTTCATTATTCTTTTATTTCACATTCAACATATAAGTATTTGCTTTATGTTCATTTCAAGCATGTAAATCTGTACATTTTCTTCAATGTGCCAAAGGTGATACCAATCATAATATCTTCAAAAACTATTACAAAAAATGGATTTTTAAAAATTAATAAAACATTGTAAAAACTCCTGTAACATCCAAAACCAAATGCCATTGAATCTTACATACACATCAGGCAAACTGCCAATCTAGAGTATGCATTACAATCATGTCAATATTAACCAATCTGGAGTATGCATTACAATCGTGCCAATATTATCCAATCTGGAATATGCATTACAATCATGCCAATATTAACCAATCTGGAGTATGCATTACAATCATGCCAATATTATCCAATCTGGAGTATGCATTACAATCATGCCAATATTAAGCAATCAGGAGTATTCATTACAATCATGCCAATATTATCCAATCTGGAGTATGCATTACAATCATGCCAATATTAAGCAATCAGGAGTATTCATTACAATCATGCCAATATTAACCAATCTGGAGTATTCATTACAATCATGCCAATATTAGCCAATCCAGAGTATGCATTACAATCATGCCAATATTAGGCAATCAGGAGTATGCATTACAATCATGCCAATATTAGCCAATCCAGAGTATACATTACAATCATGCCAATATTAGCCAATCCAGAGTATGCATTACAATCATGCCAATATTATCCAATCTGGAGTATGCATTACTTTCATGCATATATTATTCAGTCTATTGTGTGCATTACTATCATGCATATATTATTCTGTCTAGTGTGTGCATTACTATCATGCATATATTATTCAGTCTAGTGTGTGCATTACAGTCATGCCAATAATAACTAATCAGGAGTATGCATTACAATCATGCCAATATTAGCAAATCTAGCTTACAGTAGTCATTGTAACATTTCTCTGGTCCAGTCTTCAAATTTTCCCAACATGATCTCGTAATGGGTGATAAAAAACCTGGTTAGTCTTCTGCCTTAAAAGAGAAAGATTTCCTTCAATTTAAGAACATTATAAAGTAATATTTTTCTATGTTTACTCAAATAAAAGTTATGTCTAAGTACAAATGACATAGACAATAATCAGCTGTTGCATAATATGCCACCAGCTCATAAAACTATGTTGCTTCTTCTGCTGATTACTATTAACAAACTTCAGAGACCACAGACCCAAATTTTGACTCCATTTATAGGCAAGTATATATGGCATATTTACATAAGCTCATTTCCAGTTTCAAATAATTAAAGTACAAGATATGAGTTGTTACACACTAATGTGTATAGTCTTCTACTTTTAAGTATTAATCTAGAGTATGCATTGCAATTTTTGTGATTTTACCTCTCTGTTGTAACTTTCAGGCAGAAAAAAATGCACTAGAAAGAGATACTTATGCTAAAGCAGTAAGTACCATTTGTGTATGTATTCATTCAGACTACATGTCTTTGATACTGATGGCTGTTTCTATCTAATATTTTTTGGACCCAAGAAAAGTACCTTCTGATTTTGAGGAGTCACCCATATAAGCAGTTCAAATATGTTTTTCATATCCTTTAGAAACCCAAATAAATCTTGAAGATGTATTTTTCAAACCTGCCTTCCCCAGTGCCAAGGATGTTTAAGTGGAACAGCACTGATTAAGATGCCTTAATAAAAGATGCCTAGAACAGTGAAGTAAGACTTCAGTTTGCAATCAATGCAGTTGTAGCCATATAAAGAAGAGATTGAACTTTAAGATCCCCAAACAGAAATTAAATACATCAAATCTGTGTTTGTGGTCAAAATTATTGACAATAACTAGTTGAAAATAAATGCAATTTCTTGATATGGTAAATGAACCCCTTCATTTTATTTGTTAGGCATCATTTTCTAACATAATTGTTCACCATTTTCTACATGATATTTGCAGTTTTTATTTTTCTTCATCTAAGTCAGTTAAGCAAAGGTCAAAACAGACATGTTTTCAAGGTAAATTAATGCACCTTCATGAGATAGATGACTATCAATATTCTTATTCTCTCTCTCTCTCTCTCTCTCTCTCTCTCTCTCTCTCTCTCTCTCTCTCTCTCTCTCTCTCTCTCTCTCTCTCTCTCTCTCTCTCTCATTTTCTTCAAAATGAATGTATAAATGTTATATCTAAATCCATTTTCCAAATTAAGAATGATTTGTGGTATTTGTTTTAGCTTGTAATATGCATGGAAGAAAATTTAGAATGATAATTACTTGCATAGCTCTTTATGATTTTTCATTGTAATTGGTACTTCCTTCTTTTCACACCATTCTTAGTTTGAAATTTAACAAAAGAAAACAATTGCCCTTTTTCTGTATTTGATCCCCAGATGATACCATATGCTGCACACAAAACATTTTTTTAGTCAAAACACCTCTTCAGTAATATTTTAGACAATATAACTCCTCATTGATTTTCCTGTTTTGTGATAAAT